CAAAATAAATCTCAAGGTTCTGCTTTTTAGGGGGATCTAGAAAATAGATTGGTGGGGGGAGCCTACAAATGCGATCAAACCCATTGCATGGAGAATGTTGTAACAGACATTCTATTTGAAGTGGGACGTAAGAGGACAGGGGTTTGTTGGTCCTTTATAATACACACTGAAAAGTTTGTGGACCACTAATTAGGAATTTCATTTAAAATTAAAGAGCACAATGAAACCAAGTGCTGGCATCCCCTGTCTAGAAATCTTTTAAGATCTGAAACACATTGATCATTCTGGGGTGGTGTGGGTGGAGCCCTACATTCAAGCCAGAAGATGGCTAGATAAATTTCCCTGGTCCTAGACCAGTTTTCTCTTGGCTTTAATTGTCTGCTGATGGGGATAGATCAGTTATTTCCCTGTGTCTCTGTAAACACATGGAGCCTTTCCATCCAGTGGAAGTCCCTGGGAGCTTTCATAATGTGTTTAGAGTTTTGGGGCTAAGAGTTTCTTGGATTTTTGTTGTTGTTGTTGTTGTTGTTTGTTTTGTTTTGTTTTGTTTTTAGAGAGAGAGAGAGAATCTCAAGCAGGCTTCATGCCTAGCACGGAGCCCGACATGGGGCTCCATCTCACGACCCTGAGATTGTGACCAGACCCTGAGATCATGACCTGAGCCAAAACCAAGAGTCAGACACTCAACGGACGGGAGCCACTCAGGCTTCCCGGGGGCTGAGAGTCTTCTTAAACAAGTGGCAGTATAAGCATATTTAGTATATTCTTTCATTGCATTAAATCTAAAATATGTTTTTACTTGTCACAAGCAACGGTTTGTTGTTCTACAAAAAATAGTTGAACCGTGGTGGCAGAGAGCTCAGCAGTCACCGTCTTGCTAAGTCACCTGGAGAAGGCTGGAAACAGCCAGTGGGCAGAAGGAGGGGGCGAAGTTAGAGGAATGCAGGCTAGTCCTTTCCAGCCCCATCTGGTTACCTCTAACTCATCTAACCAAATTAAGTACCCACAGTTTGGTAAAATATGTTGCAGCTACCCTCCAGATGAGCGCAGGTGATCCAAGCATGATGATTTTGTGTTTAATCAGAAAAGAAACATTTTAGACCTCCCAAACTCTGAAGTGGGCAGAAAAATATTTTTAGCCATTTTTTTACCCCCATTGAGTCTGTTGTTTGAAAACGTTGAGATGTGATTTTTGCTATGACTACGTTGCAAGGATTCTGCTTTGTGCCCGCTTTTGTTTCTGAAGGCTGACTTTTGCTTGCTTAGAAAGAGTGACAGAATCATTGTTTATTTTATGTTACCTGCTGGGGGCGGGGAAGGGGTCTTATAGATTATTTAGTTCAACCTATAGCTTCTGAATCAGGCCTCAAACTCAGGTGATCTGATTCCATGGCAACGGACTTCAGGGCTGGAAAAGACTATCTGTAATCCAGATAGTCTCACTAACTAGGGTAGAAAGCTACCTGTTAGGGAGTGGCACAGGGGAAAATAAGTTTGAAATGTGAATTGAGGTGGACTCTGGTCTGGGTCAATAATTCTACTGAAAACTAAGAACTAATTAATAATACTTACCCGAACTCTTATCAAAACAGAAGTCCAAAGGGAATTCTTGGAAGTTGACTTTCTTCCCCCCTTTGCAGCTCCGACCAATGTGAGCAACATTTGCATGTCCTTTTTTTTTTTTTTAAAGATTTTATTTATTTGAGAGAGAGAGAGAGAATGAGAGATAGAAAGCACGAGAGGGAAGAGGGTCAGAGGGAGAAGCAGACTCCCTGCTGAGCAGGGAGCCCGATGTGGGACTCAATCCCGGGACTCCAGGATCATGACCTGAGCCGAAGGCAGTTGCTTAACCAACTGAGCCACCCAGGCGCCCCTGCATGTCCTGTTTTATAGACCCAGCTATCAAGAAAGAATTATGAATAGGAGATCTGCTACCTCATAAAGAAGAGGTCTTGACTGATAACTTGAGGCCACTCAGACCCCAGACCGGGGAAGAATGGGTCCCCTCAGTCCCCACAGTCACCACACTTTATTTACCCCAGGGACTGCTTTATGTATACCTGCTTTGTTAGTTAATGGTAGTTATTTGCACAATAGACCTCATTTTGTGTAGGACTGTTCTGTTTTGAGACAGCGGTATAAGTAAGAATGTTGGCTGGGGTCTCTGGAATATTTGTGGTTGATGGCTCTTTAGAATGGTGTCCAAATCCCCAAGGGCATTCTTTTATCCTGTGATTTTGCTTACAGGTTCTAAGGCACCCTTGGGAAGGATTCCAGTCTTCTGCAAGCACGATGTAGTCACCCAGCTGCTATCCCCTTTCTTCCCTCTCTCCCCTTTTGTATGCCTAGAACTCCTCTTGGGTCTCCTTCCTCCCTGAAGACTGACAGCAGGGGCGGGTGGAGGGGTGGGGCGGGGACTTTGAGTTCTGTTTCAGCAACTAATGAGATGTGCCTTCTCCTTCAAATCATTAGCCAGCCCCACATCACCTTCAGCAGGCAGGGGTTCTAATATGGTGCTTCTGTGGGTAAGGAGGTACCTGTGCTCATGAAACTCTGGTATTTCTCCCCACACTCCTGTCTGTGACCAGCCCTGGGGCTCTGTTAAATCGTCAGGGAGTTTTTGGTGGCCAAGAAAAGGAGGCCTTGAGTCTTAACTTCAAGTATATTTATTTAACATGACAGTAGGAAAAGTATGTCTGATTTCAGATTAAATTCAGGAAGGGGCCACATGACTGGCTTGGAGCCGCCCTGGTGCTCCTGCTGCAATCCAGGTAAGCAGAGGAGTTAGTGGCCGTGGTCTGTTCCATCATGGATGGCTCCCATCCCAGGCGTTCCTCAGTCACTGGAAGCCCATTAACGGGAGACCATTATGAAACTGATGACTATTTTCTTTGTATTTCTGGCTTTTCTCAATCACAGGGCCCATGTGAGGTAGGTGTGGGATCTAAGAAAAAAAAATATGTATACAAAATGAAAAGCCACTCCGGCCTATAGTGCTAGCAAAAGGCAAGGAAGTCTGACTTAATATTTTCAGTGTAAATATCAGCCACCCCCAAACAAAACCGGTATTGAATCAAGTGCGAGAACTCGATTCAATCACCTAAAAATAGCTATTGGATGAAAAAGTGAAGGGGAAAATAGTGTCTGATTAGTGACTGGTCATTTTCAAAGTGGCTCCTCCTATATCATCTCATTTTATGAAAAGTAAATTTGATCTTTTTCAGTGTTAGAGTGAATCAGTTCATAATTTCTTACAAGAGGCAAAGGACATTATATTTATAAGCATGCAAGCTGTGAACTAGGTAGAACATTCTCTTTTGCTGCTTTATATTTTTTATCAACCATCGCAGATTAATAGGGAAAATCTTCAAGGAACGGAACTTTAAAATGGATTTAAAAAAATATTGTTTGAACTTAAGTGTGCTTGTCATCTTTTGTTTTGGCCTCAGTTTCTTCCTCTGGTACCTTCCTTTGAATGGCAAATCATTACTTGCATTTGGATAGATTAGTATTTAGCTTGCAAAATAGACCATTTCCCCCCTCATTAAAATCTCATAGTTGCCAAACTTCATTAGGATAAATGGAATTATTCATCTGTTTCCCCCCTGCCCTTTGGCTATGGGGTCAGTAAAATGATGTTAAGCAGGAGAGGGTAAGGCTGGTGAACACTTTAAAATGTCACTAAGTAATTTCAGGAAGGAGCCAGTCTGCAACTGTACTGAATGATGGATATGCTCTCAGCCTTAATGGCTATTAATGACTTACATAATGACAGTTTGTATTATAACCATGGCTGTTCAAAACTTGCATTTTGCAATAGCTATAACTAGTTGTGGACATTTCCTAAACTTATTTAAAATACGCTGAGAAGTTAAAATGGGAACAAAGCAAGACAAATAAAACCCCGAGACTAACAAGTAGTCAAGGATGGCAACCAAGGAGGGGTGGGGGGGGGGAGAAAGAAAAAAAAAGAAACGAAGAGTATAGCCAACCTTTTTTTTGTTTTAATTAGAGTATATTATACTTCCAAACTGGATACACTAGAAATTGGCAATGCAACATAAGATGCAAAGAAATATACCAGTTACTGTCAAAATGACCCTGTACAGCCTTGTAATGCAAAAAGCTTTATACAATACAAATTTTCAGTAATGTACACAAACCTTGACAGTATGATCATCTGAACATAATATGAGGAGTTAAAAAAAGGATAGAAGCAAGAAAGTGCTGAGAATTCTAACTGCAGTACTATATGGACAAATAAGCTAGCTTTCATTGAAGAATGCATAGTGAAAACAGAATTGAAGTTAGTTGGCAGGTGAATTTCTCAAAGACGTTAGTGTTTTACACGGAAAGGATATCTATGGAATAATCCTTCCCTGAGTATCGAACTGCAAACCAAATTCGGGGGTATATATTATCTCGGTGGAGTCTGAAAAATGCTGTAGATTTTTCTTTATTAATAACAATAATAATAATATAAAAAGTCAAACAAACTCCAAACACACCTTTCTCACTCAGAAAACTTTTTATAATTTACCAGAAAGATTGATGACTCTTTCCAAAGTGCTAAAAAAGTTGCCCAATTACATTAAGCATAACTAAGTCATTCAAATACAAGTTCAGTGGCAAGCAGTGAAATGCATGGCATTTGAGCAGTAAACATCTCCTTCCAACACCCCTCTCGATCTTGAAAGTTTCAACCGAGGACCTCATATTGCACACGTGGCATGCTGTAAAACCTGCAGTCCTAACTGTCAGGGCCACCCTGTCAGGTTTTTAACCTGCTGGTGCTTCCGTGTGATTCGCCTGTTCTGCCAGCCTCCGTGGGATCACCGGGGCCCTCTTCTGTCATCACTGAACTTGTAATTTTGAAAGCACATTATTAGCCAAGTGGCACATTCTCCATTATATGGGGATAAAGACAGGACTTTTTAAAAAAAACCAACCCACCCATACGCCCAGTATTCTTGGAGTGTATTGTCCATAACTGTCTATAGTGTCTTTTATCGAGACATTGACATGGCGAGGTTGAACGATGCTTCTAACATAGCCAAGAACAAATGTCTCTGCTGGAGGATGACCGAGGGTTCGGGGGGCTTCCTGCCCTAGCTGGCTCAGCCTCCCTGCCCCTGGGCACATCTCCTTAGTGTAAACAGGTTTGCCAGGGCTGGAGTACTGGCAAAGGGAAGTGTAGCACACCTGCTAGGTCTGGGGGAAGAAGGGTGGGTATGGGGGTGGGGGAGTCCATGGTGTGGACCGACGGTACAGTCTTCTGGCTTCCTGTGAGAACTGTACCAAGTTCGAGGGGGCTTTCAGTGAAGCAAACTGACTAGAGGAAGAAAATCAGGGATGCTTTTATTTTCCCCTGGTGAAACAGATGAAAAGAAAAATCCCCACTCTAGGATAACACATGATGGAAAACAGCAATGCAGTAAGAAAGCATTCCTCTTGTACACCAGTTCTTCAATAGATAAATAATATATAAACTTTTATATTCCAAACGTTCCATTATTATACAAAGCACATTTCTTCCTGCCCTTTCAGCCTGTTTCATACTGGAAATTCTGTTGTCTTACAAATACAAGCAATTAAGATACTCGGCCAAAGATTTCTTTTCCTTTTCTTTTTTAAATCACCCATTACTTTTTTAAGATTCGCAAAGGGCTATGCAACCAATCCACATCTGCTTCTTGCTGCAATAAAGTGCTGCACATAAGTTGCCATTTTAATGACCACAAAATAAAAGCCATAAATAAGTATAAAGTTAGCCTCCTAGCAGGTTATATCTACCAGGCGTTAACAAAATGGAATACAGAATTATTAATAACATGGAGAATACCGCTGTAGCCAGACGATCTGCAAACACAAGGGAAACTTCTCAGGGGCATGAATTGAACCGTAGGACTAAACAGCACCTTTTTGTTGGGTCGTTATATGTCAAAGAGGTTGTGACAAAATTTTCAAACACACAGTCTACTCATTCCATAGAAAAGGTACATTTTCTTCCTTTTATTTTACCTTTTTTTTTTTTTTGCAGATGAGAAACAAAAACTAGTGCAAGACCAAAGCACTGTGCAAAACTGCCGTTTTTTTTTTTTTTT